TAAAGAACATTACCTCTATTCCCCTGTTTTGCCTATAATTACACTAAATAATCCTTCTAAGAATAATTATTTTATAACTTTCGACTGATCTTATCCAATTGTGCTTTTTAGAGACCTTGGTAGATGAGTACTTTCTTCTTTCTTTTTCTAATCTTTCTCTGTTAGTTTCTTTTTGTTATCCCTTAAGGCCTTCAAGTGTACCTCGGCTTCTCGTCTTCCTTTAGATCTTTCTTAAGTATTACCGTAATTGAATATTTTTGGAATACTATTTTATCTCTTGACTTTTTAGCACTTTTTTTTTTAGTTTGCAGTATGCTCTTAACTAAAATATGCCTTTAACTAGAGTTTTTAACTAGTTACAGTATGCCTTTAGAGTTTGCAATATGCCTTTAACTAAAAGTGTATTGTGAAAATTATACCACTTCACATAAAATATAATAATTTCGTCCTTGAGACCAGGCACGGTGGCTCATGCCTGTAATCCCAGCACTTTGGGAGGCTGAGGTGGGTGGATCACAAGGTCAGGAGTTCGAGACCAGCCTGACCAACATGGTGAAACCCCGTCTCTAATAAAAATATAAAAATTAGCTGGGCATGGTGGCATGCACCTGTCATCTCAGCTACTCAGGAGGCTGAGACCAGAGAATCACTTGAACCCGGGAGGCAGAGATTGCAGTGAGCCAAGATCTTGCTGCTGTACTCCAGCCTAGGTGACAGAGCGAGACTCCATTAAAAAAAAAAAAAAAAAAAAGAATTTTGTCCTTGAATAGACCTATTTCCCCCACTCACGCTTTGTACTATACAGTCCCCTTGAACAATACAGGGGTCAAGGGTGCCAATCCCCCATGAAGTCAAAAATCTGTGTGTAAACTTTTAACTGCCCCCAAATTTAACTGTTAATAGCCTGCTGTTCACTGGAAACCTTGCTGATAACCTAAACAGTTGATTAACACATATTTTGGATGTCATATGTATTATATACTGTATCCTTACAATAAAGTAAGCTAGAAAAAAGAAAATATTATTAAGAAAATCATACTGAACAGAAAATACACTTATAGTACAGTACTGAATTTATTGATGGCACAAGTTGACATCACCTGTTTACAAGGTGCACTGTCTGTCTGAAATGGTGGGCAGCCATAGCTGCAGACTTTAATCCACCACACATGCTGAGCAACTCAGCTTTTTCTTGTAATGTCATGACTTTTGTCTACTTTTGAGAACATTTCCATCCAGCATCACTAGAGGCACTTCTTATGGGTCCTGTGGTGTTATTCAAGGTTCACACCATGGTATTATGCTAAACACGATGGAAAATATGTGAGCGCCATGAGCGAGCACTCGGTACTGTGATGCATAGGGTCCTGGAGCGGAGACGGCTCACACAGATGCACGGGGTCCTGGAGCGGAGACAGCTCACACAGATGCACGGCGTCGTGGAGCGGAGACGGCTCACACAGATGCACGGGGTCCTGGAGCGGAGACGGCTCACACAGATGCACGGGGTCCTGGAGCGGAGACAGCTCACACAGATGCACGGCGTCGTGGAGCGGAGACGGCTCACACAGATGCACGGGGTCCTGGAGCGGAGACGGCTCACACAGATGCACGGGGTCGTGGAGCGGAGACGGCTCACACAGATGCACGGGGTCGTGGAGCGGAGACGGCTCACACAGATGCACGGGGTCCTGGAGCGGAGAGGGCTCACACAGAGGTCAATGGTGCCGCACCGCATTTCCAGCGGACCCTCGCACTCACTCCCCGCAGAAACAGCAGGAGGGGCTGCGACACGTTTCCGGGAGCACAGTGTGTACTGCACTTAGTTCTGTGCAGTTAGGGTTTGATACTGCATCTTCAGGATCAATTTGCAAGTCACTCAGCTGCAGATGTCATGACCTGTGTGTTTAGGTTTTATTTTACTTTTAACTTTTTGTAATAGATTTGTGTATATTTTATAGTAGTAAGTGATACAATAGACTACGTCTACATACATTTTATGTTCTCGTGTTATACCTAACTTTAAACATTTAAAAAATATTTCTAGGCTATGTGATGTATCTTCAAGGTTTTTCAGATTATCAACAAATCTCCAAAAGTTTTCTAATAGATTTATTGAAAAAATTTCTTGTATAAGTGGACCTGCACAGTTCCAACCCATGTTGTTCAAGAGCTCACTGTACTTTGTAATATGTACTATATCTACAAATATTATAAACTGTTCCAGCCCATTGTATTTATATACATACACACACCCCCACACCCATATAGTTTTTGGGCACAGAGTCTTGCTCTGTCACCCAGGCTGGAGTGCAGGTGGTACGATCTTGGCTCACTGCAACCTCTGCCTCCCGGGTTCAACCAGTTCTTCTGCTTTAGCCTGGTGAGTAGCTGGGACTACAGACATGCAGCAGCATGTGTGGTTAATTTTTGTAGTTTTAGTGGAGACGGGGTTTCTCCATGAGGGCCAGGCTAGTCTCAAACTCCTGGCCTCATGTGATCTGCCTGCCTCGGCCTCCCAAAGTGGTGGGATTACAGGCGTGAGCCACCGGGCCTGGCCCATTTTATTTTTAGTTTAAGGGAATTAAGATTAAAAATTGGATTTGGGTTTTTTTGTTGTTGTTTTGTTAAATATTTACTTAGATATTTACCACTTTTGTTCCTTACCATTCCTTCTTGACGATATGAGTTTCTGCCTGATGATGTTTCTTTTCAGCCTGAAGGACCTCTGCTGATACTCCTCTAGTGGATGTCTGCTGGAATGAAGTTCTCATTTTATTTATCTGACATTGTATTTATTTCACCTGTATTCTTAAAGAATATTCTTGCTGGATATTGAATTCTTGCTTGACAAGTCTGCCCTCCACACCCTCCACCCCTCACTTTAAATATTTTGTTCCATTGTCTTCCGACTCCATTATTTATGAGAAATCAGTGGTATTTTGATAGTTCTTCTCTTGTGTGTAATGTTATTTTTCTCTAGGTATTTTTGACTTTTTTTTTTTTTTTTTTTTAGCAATTTGACTTTTATTTCTAAATTTTATTTGTCTTTTTAGGGGTTTTCTGGGCTTCCTGAATCTGTACATTTCTGGCTGACAATAAATTTGGCATATTTTTAGTCATTGTTTCTTCAAGTAGTTTTTGTTTTTTCATTCTCTGTCTGTCCACTCATTCTGAACCCCAGTTACATGCATGTTAGACTCCGTGATATTCCCTTCATGGTTCTATGACTGTATTCATGTTCAAAATAATTTTTTCCTATGTCCTTTGGAATCATTATCTCTTGACCCACGTTCAGATTCACCATCGTCTGTAATCTGTTAATCCCATCTGAAGAATTTATTGCAGACATTGCATTTTTTCAGTTTTGGAATTTCTGTGTGCTTCTTCGTTCTTAAATACACTTTCTCTTTCTTTGTTGTGATTTCCTCCTCGTTTACTCGTTAGGAGCATGCTTTTCTTTCAGATGTGCTAAAGCTGCTTTGAAATTCTCCCTTCTTAATTCTGATGTTTGGTCATCTCAGGGCTAGTCTTCACTGATTATGTGCTTTCTTGGGTATGGACCTTGCGTTTTTGTTTCTTAATATGTTTAGAAATTTGGATCATCTCTTCATTTTTTAAAATGGTTCATTGTAGAGAGGCAGGATTCAGGGTTCTGTTATGTTCTCCTGAAAGTACTGGTTTTTTGTTTGGTTCTGTTTTAACTGGTAGCTAACTTGACTGAAGTCAAACTGTAGACTCTACCTTTCTGGCATTAGGGAGCTGCTGTGGTGGTCTCGGTTCCATTCTTTTAGTGGATATAGGTTAGGGCATGACAGGTTAGGTGTCAGAACGAGATCATACACACATTCGGCCCCTTCTGAGGCACTCTCCTTTCTGAGCTTCCATTTCTTTCTCACTTTGCAGCTGCTGTGGTCACCCTGATCTCTCACCTCTGCTTCTTCATGTCTGGGAGTCTGGGAGTTTTCTGTTCGAGTTTTAGCAGCCGTGACAGGACTTTATACACTCACATGTACAGAATGGAAATCAGAATTGTAGAAATGGCAAACTCTATGTATTAAAGGGTCATGGCGGGGCGGGTCACAAGACCACCCAAAATTAGATGGTTTGTTAGGAGGAATCCCCAGGACTCAGCATATGATCCTCCTCCTGGCTGTGATTTATGACAGCAAAAGCATAGAGCACAGTCAGCAGCAAGAAGAGGCACTGGGGTGGCTTCCAGCGGAGACCAGGCTCAGCCTCGCCTCTGGAGACTTTCTGATTTAACCTTTATGTGTAGTCAATGAATGAAACAACCTAAAGCCTATGTCTTTTCTGCTGCAAAATTAATGGTATGAAAGTAGCTATGATGTGTGTTTTGTGAAAGCTTTCCCATGTGATTTTATAAGTATGCATCATGAGCACGTGGTTCAGACACATGGAATAAGCACGTCCTCATGGCTGTAAGGAAGGCCACGCTTAGCTTATAGTGATCAGTGCCTGCTTGTGGCTGTAAGGAAGGCCACACTTAGCTTATAGTGATCAGTGCCTGCTTGTGGCTGTAAGGAAGGCCACGCTTAGCTTATAGTGATCAGTGCCTGCTTGAATGAAAACGTGTAAACAGATCTAGGAATTTATTAAACTGTTTTATAAAACTTATGAGGAATTGTGATAGTTCCTTAATTCCCCCTGAACACTTTGAGGTGACTTCAAGATATTCCTAAACAGGCTCCACCTCTACCATTGGAGCCCCCCGGCAGGCCCTGGGGCTACCTGTTGTGAGTGTCTCCTGCATGATTTTGATTCACACCTGCTGTTCAAGGGCACACCCTGTCAAGCTTAAAAATGGTTTCTGTCTTTATCTGACATTGTAATTTATAGTGTTGACACAAAAATCTAAGAAAATCAATGATCGCTTTTTGTAAATAATATATGAAAAATATTAATTAGCAAATGAGAAATTTCCAAGTAATTTTACTAAATTATAACATTATAATCAATTCAAATGTTCTGTATTCCAGGACCTTTTTTCTATCAATGCTTATGTTTATGCTCAGAAACCACAAATGGACATTCACAGTTTTGAAGGCACATTTACCAGGGTAAGTTAAACCTGTTGTTCAGTACAAATAGAGTTACTGTGTAAGTTAAAAGTAGCAAACCTTTATTTTGAGACAGTTCAGTCAAGAATAAATTCAAATAGAAGTTTCAAACTAGGAAGGGAAAACCTATATAATGTTTGAAGTTCTAAAGTGTACCCATATTTAATATGTCTTTGGGATACATTTAGTACAGTTTTTGGAATTTTTTTAGCATAGTTACTAATAAGATCTTTATCTCCTAAAATATTGTGAATCAGTTAAATGAATTAATTTATTTTCATTTTGACTGAATAGTTGGTATACCATAATATCCACATCATGTCTAGCTTTTTACTGTCTGAGTTGGGTGGGTGTTTGTATGTATGTCTGTGAGTCTGTATGTGCATGTTATGTTTCTTTATACACATATGTATACACTTTATATTATTATAGAGTTTTGTTAAAGCTGGAAGAACTTTGCCCCTGACTAATAGGGCTTGAGAGACTCAGTAACTCTTTATTTTAACAGCTTATAGCTGATATTAGAAATGCTTTATAGTAAGGGATTTTAGTACATGACTATAGGTTATTTGTAATTGCTGCAGTTATTTTAAAAATACTTTTGTTGGTGAATTCATCTTTTATTTCACTCTTGGTCACATGCAGTTATTGGCAAGCAGTTGTCATCACTTGAAAAAGCATTTTCAGAGCTTATATAATGCGACAGTTAGTGAGCAAACTCTGGGAATGTGAAGTGCGGGCACTGTGAGGTCAGTACAGTCCTGTGGTGCTCTGGGCCTTTTGCAGCTGCCTATTTCCATAGGTGCTGCATACAAGCATGCATAAGATGTTCATGGAGGGACAGAGGAGGAAGCATGTCCTGGTGATGAGTATCATGCAATGAATTCTGAAATAAACTCATATCTTTTTTTTTTTAACAAAAGTAGTTGTGAAAACAGTGTGTTCTTATTAAAGACAACATATGAGAATAAATGTTACAAAAAGGTACCCTTAGTATGATAAATGAAAAGTTATTTATGTAACCACTATTAAGAATTTGAAATATTATTTGCTTTCTTCCTTTCCTTTTCTTACTCTTTTCTCTAATTTATATTGCTCATGACTTTGAAAAGTTGGAAATGTTTGCTAGACAACGTGTGGAAGTACAAGGAAGTCAGAGAGCAAGTGCGGGTTGGCTGAAAAACCTGGTTCAAAGGGAAGCATATGGCTCAGTATGCAGGTGTGACAAGGGCTGGGTCGTATAGGACTAGAAAGATATCCAGGCTTGACCGGAAGAAGCCTTTGAAGGATCTTCAGCTTAGAAGAGAAATGATAAATATATTTTTAAAAGATTCATTCATAAGTTCTGATTCCCTTAGGATAATGGTGGCCACTTAATTTTGTTACATACCACATAGCCTTCCAAAATCATACAGGCTAACTATGAGAGTAGAGAGTGTAATCTGTAGCTCATGTTTAGCAGAAATGTGAGACAGAAAATACTGTGAACTTCAATTTACTGTAAGTGGGGAAAATATCCAGAATAACACAGTTAGCTCCAGAGCCAGGATGGTGCAGCAGGAGATTGTCTTGGGATGCTGATATCATGTAGGTTTTGCATTCAGAAGAAAAAGGATTCCTAAGTAGGATAATGCATCCTGTGAATGAATTGGGTAAGCAAAGCGATGGGACATTGAAGGGACTTGGGTAGAAGTACAGATTGGAAGTGACCTTGGGGGAATGTACAGGGGCAAGGGGCACTGGTAAAGAGTTGGTGGCTCTCGTAGGCTTAATTAGGAAGAAAAAGACAAAGTTGACCTTTCTGAAACATGATAATAGCAATCAGAAGAGTCAGTCCACACCACCCCAAAAGGATGCTTTTCACTGAAGACATTGAACTTCATTGTGCCTGTAGAAGAAGGCACTCTTGGATTAAGAAACAAATTCCACCTCCCATCCTTGGAATAGGATTTCCTATTTGTACAGATTCAAGAAAAACAGCTCTTATTATTATGAATAGAGGAAGGAACCCATTTTGCTGTCTCACCCAGGCTAGAGTGCAGTGGTGTGATCATAACTCGTTGCAGCCTCAAACTCCTAGGCTCACGCAGTCCTCCTGCCTCAGCCTCCTGAAGTGTTGGGATTATAGACACGAGAGCCATCGTGCCTGGGCAAATATAGTTATCAACAGAAGAAAACAGATAAGTGAGAAGCACATTTTCAATTGATAAAAAATTTCTAAAAACAGGGAAAGGAAAAACCTCAATGCAAAGTAATTCTATAACAATGCAACAAGCCTGATTTAAATATAACTAACCAAACGATGGTACTTAGGAAAGAACACCGTAAATCAGACATTTAAAAACACAAGAATCAAAATGGAATAAATTTCTCAAGAATGTAAGAATAAAAGCTTAAGAATAAAACAGGACAATGTGAATGAGAAGGCTAACTGAACTCAGGAGAACACTGAACGTGAGCATCTGAGAAGGGAGGACTGAATCACAGCATGCCTGTGGGGGATGCACAGTAAGAGATAGGGAGGTTGTAAAGAAAAGAGTCGAGGAAACGAGATGATTAAAGAGGTGAAAAGGACTAGAGGTTGATAGATGTGGAAGAACGACAAGAAAGACCCGACATGAGAGTCTTGAAACAAAATCATGAAGCGATTTGAAACATTGACAGCTCAAGTATGTGTTACTAAATACAAGGATGTCTGAGGTACACACTGAAAGGGCCCAGCATGCACGTGAGAAAACTTCAAGACATGTAGCTGCTTGTCATATTTTACATATACAGGGAAAAATCCTCTGGTCTCCCTGGGAAAATGACTAGCTCCCCACAGGTGGAAAGGGCCAGGTTGGTGTCAGTGTTTTCAGCATGCAGAGCCATACAAGAGCAGGGCAGCCTTTCCAGGAGGCGCAGGGGAAGAATGTGTGAGTGGAGCGTTTTGCTCCTTCGAGACTGTCCTGCAAGTGCCAATTCTGTGGAGAGCAGTCTCAAGCTCTCAGAATTCAGAGAGAATTCTGTACAATACAGAATTCAGGTGTGTTGTACACATGAGCCTTTTGTGAATAATCTCACAGAGGATTAGCTCTGCCCAGCCTATAGATGACCTGGGGGAAGTTTTATGGTGAGCACTGAAGCTCTAACAGATCTGAGAATAAAACAGTGGAGGGCGGATGGGTGGAAGATGGTACAGTGTATATGAATTTTATATGCTTCCTCAAATAATCAGCTGAAAAGCAGGAAGAGGAGGAGAGGAGAAAATAGAAGGAGCTCATTGGTTGCTACATGGGTGGAAAGGCTGTCAGAGACTTTATTGAAAGCTGACGAGCTCAATAGTAGCTGTCTAAGCAAGGAGAGTAGGATGAAGGCAGGCTCCTGGGACACTGGGAAAATGGTAGTGACCAGAAAATATACACCTCACCAAAAAATGAATTTGGTTTTAAAAATTAGACAACAGTTTATCAATTCGTATGGCTAAAGATGCATAGTACGCAGGCTTTTTCACACAGAAAATTGGATCAGAAAGGCTAAAGGGTTAAGGAAAGATACATCAAGCAAATACAAATAAAAATGAAGCAGGAGTTGCAGCCTTGGTATTTAACAAGAATACCAGTATAGAATCGAGAAAGCATTTTAGAATGAGGAGGAGAAAGATGCTATAAGATAATAAAGTCCATCATAGGAAACTTTAACATCCACCTGCAGTGCCTAGTGGGTCAGGTGGACAGAAGGGTAGGAGAGGTATAGAAGAGAGAGCTCAGAACATGAGCAGTGAAATATATCATTTTAAATTTTTATTGAACTTTGTTCCCCGGTAATTTTTATTTCAGCATATATAGGGTGTCACCAAAAGTTGAACATACATTTGTTTGTAAAGAAATTTTTAGTTCTGTAACATAGAACTCATACAGACAATATTCTCTGATCACAGTGCAATAAAATTAGTAAGCAGTAACAAAATCAGTGAATGAAACGACTTTCTGCCTGCAAATGTAAATACTATATATTAATTAATTTTTGTATCCAAGGAGAAATATGAACTGAAATTGGAGAATTTCTAAAAAATATTGGTAATGGAGACACTGCATATCAAAATCTGAATCTGGTGGATATGTGTAGAAATAGGAAAATTTATAATCTTTATAGAGAGAGAGAGCAATAAAAATAAAAGAATGAAAATTGATGAATTAAGTATATGAAAAAGTGAACAAAAAGTGTGCAGAGGGAAGAACATATAAAGGTTTATGTTAAGGTCACATAACTACAAAACCATTCTGTTAGGGTGGGGATTTCAGAGGCCAGGTAATAAATGGAGGTAAGTTTTTAAAAAAATATTATGTGTTAAGTGATATAATATTGATTCAGAGTAACCTGTGATAAGTAAAGGTTGCATACAATAATTCTCAGAGCAACCGCTAAAAAAAGAAAGAGGTCAATAGAGGTGATGAAGTTAGATGCTAAAGTGGGATCAACTGGTTTCTTTCCCCTGAAAAAAGATAGGTGCAGGAAACGAAATACCAGGTGTGACAAGTAGAAAACAAAGAGCAAGATGGTTGACTCAGTAATTAAACATCTCTGCAGTTAAAAGGCACAGACTGTCAGACTGGAGAAAAACATAGTACCCCCAGATTGATAGAACTAATAGGCAACATAAAATCTACAAGAATGGATTTTTTCCTTCTAATCTATAGAATACGGACATGTAGTTTATTAATAACTATAGAATATCAAAATAACATTAGGAAGGCACTTTAGCATATTGACAGATATTATTAAATGCAACAGCTACATAATACACATTTTTCAAAATCTCATGGAACAATCCCAACTATAGTTGAATAGAATACAAGTCTTAGTATATTTTTTTAAAATTGTAATTATATATATACACACACACACACTAATTACAATATGGAATTAGAAATAAAAAGTCTTCAGAGCCAGACTCCGTCTCAAAAAAAAAAAAAAAAAAAGTCTTAAAAATCCTCAGGTACTTGGAAATTAAACTCATA